CCGCTAGCCACCGCGTCGCCCCGCCGCCAAGCGGCCGCGCCACCGCCCGCACGCCACCCAGCACTGCGCCGCCAAGGGAGCCGCGCCGCCGCCGGATCCATAGTCGCCGAGGAGCACCCCCGCCGGCCGCCGTCCGCCCGAGCCGAGGCGCCATGCGGGGGGGAAAGGCCGGGGCCGCCGCCGCCGGCACCACGCGGGCAAGGCCGGTGGCCCAGGCCGACGGCGGCGGAAGGGGAGGAGGAGGGAAGGGCTGGGAAGGGCGACGAGAGCCCCCGGTCGCCCCGCTCGGGGAGGCGACGCGGGGGGAGGAGAGAGGTTCCTTAACTATATTTTCATGTTGTTCCAAGCTTAATAGCCGGAAGGGGATAATTTTTTCTCACTATGGACCTTTTTATAATAATTTAGGTGCGTCAGCCACAAAAGCCCACATTTTTATGTAACACCGTGTGCATCATCAAGACATTACCATTATAGACACACAAACCAACTTCAGACATAATCTAGGTGGCCTTTGGTTCAAAGGCAAGGATGGAGTATGGATTGACTTAGGGTGTATCCGTGCCCACTTGTTCATGGTTCGTCTTTTTGTTTGAAATCACTAGTTAAAAGTGCACCTTGCAAAGGTTACTCTCTCATCTTCCGTGGTTTGACAAATAGCGAACTGCATGGGTTCCACTTATCATAACATGTGAGTTTTTTTAAAATCATTCTTTCAAACCGTCTTATCTATTGAAATTGAACCGTGCGTCCAAATATTGAACCGCTCTCATTGTTGAATTTCTCGTATCGAGATCTTCAAACTAGATCCCATTTTAATACGTTTCGATGATCTTTTTTCAAAAGAAAAAACAGAAATCAATAAAAACAAAATTAGGGAAAAACGAAGTGGAAAAACCAAATAATCCCCAAAACAAGTTCTCTCGCGTGTTGCTTTCTTTTGGAAGCACATGTTGCTTTTTTCGAAGCACAGTTGTGCTTGCATGCGAAGCAAATAATGCTTCTCATGGAAGCACTTTTTTTTCCTGAGAAGCACGCTCACGGAAACAAATTCGTGCTTCTCATAGAAGTACATATTGTTTTCCAAGAAGCACAGTTGTGTATATCGTGAAAGAAACTTTGTGCTTCCATGCTAAGCAAATCTATGCTTCTCATGAAAGTAAATTTGTTCTTCCACGTGAAGCAAATATGTGCTTATCGTGGAAGCACTAATTTTTTCTCGAGAAGCATAGTTGGATCCGCAAAAAAAATTCTCCAAAACCTATGAAAAACCTGGGGAAGATAAAAAATCCAAAGAAAACCCATCTAAAACGCGAACATGTGTACAGAAAAAAAAATCCAGAAAAGACACCCAACACATGACATGTGACGGTGCTGAATGCGTCACTTGGCATGCTCACAAGCCACCAAAAGTAACTCATGGAGATCCCCGGAAGGGGTAGTTTTTTTTTTAGCATTCCGCAAGGGGCAGTTATTCCCCTTTTTTCTGGTTGATTTTTTTAGACATGTTCCTGGTTGGATGAGCCATGGTGTCTGCTGCTTCTTCTTTTTTTTTGAGGGGAAGCCATGGTGTCTGGTAAATAGGCCGCTGGAAACGTCATCGCTGTCTGCCAAAGTAAATTTTCAGCGAAAAAGGATTTTTCCCCGCTTTATAAATAAAGCAACTTCCACCAATCACATGGTAACTGCTGGGGCGCACAGCACATCAAGCCCAAAAGAGAAAAAAGAACAAAATGCCAACAACGGCAACTCGGCAAAGCTAAGATGATCCGCCTCCGCTGCGCCCTCCGGATTCGTCCCACCACACACCAAGGCTCCGAATCGCCGCGTAACCAAGCAGCACCTCCAAAAAGGGGTGCGACGTCGACGACGCTGCTGCCCGGACATGTCCTACGGTTTCCCCCGGCACGCGGAGAGGAGTGGAGGATGGGTAACACCTACGCCCCTCAGGAAGGAAAGGCGACGCCCGCAGGCGACACCGCGTCGGCGCCGGAAGAACCGGCAACCAAAGTAAATTTCCATAGTGAGAAAAAATTATCGAAGGCCTTGGGCTTCAGGCCTAAATACTGCAATGTCAGCCCAACTTCCTCCGAAGAAAAATGAGACGTGATGCCAACTGGAATTTTGTTAGCTTTCTCTCTCAAAAAAAGGAATTTTGTTAGCTTCCATTTGCAGTCAAGAAAGTCAAGATTGTTTTCAAAAAGAAAAGGAAAAACTCGGGATCTCTGTTACAAATATCCGTATATAAAGCTCAAAAAATACAGAAAATACATCATATAGATTTTCTAGAGGAAACGAGAGTATCCCACTATACCTAAGAGATTATTAGCAACTAAAAAACAGATTTTTAGAACGTGAAACAACCCCAAAATCTTGTTACTCGTTAGGATATTCCTCGCAAGTCTTCTCATATATACTCGGCATCGCCGCCATCTCAACTACCCCTAGCACCACCCACGACCAGCCGGCGGCAGCGCTACGCCGCCAACACAAGCTCGCGCTCCGTCCGGGGAAATGGCTTCCCTCTGTAACGTCTCCGATCTCTCTCGTGATCCCTCCGAATCAATCTTGGCGTACGCCTGACGTGTGTTTGCGTGCGCGCGTGCGCAGGTATCGTCGTCGCGGCGGCGCTGCTGGTCCTCGGGTGCGCGAGCAGCGGCGCGACGGCGCGGCCGCTGGTCGGGGCGGCGGCGGCGAAGCAGCCGCTGCAGACGTCGCGGCCGTACAACATCGCGCACAGGGGCTCCAACGGCGAGCTCCCCGAGGAGACGGCGGCGGCGTACATGCGCGCGGTCGACGAGGGCGCCGACTTCATCGAGGCGGACATCGTGGCCACCAAGGACGGCCACCTCGTCTGCTTCCACGACGTGACGCTGGACGACACCACCGACGTCGCCGACCACAAGGAGTTCGCCGCCCGCCGCCGCACGCTCGAGGTGCAGTGGGCCAACGTCACCGGATACTTCATCAGTACGCCCGTCCATCCATCCATCATAACCACCTTCCTATTTTCGACCGGAATCTTAACCGCATTCCTATCTTCGATCGATCGATATGCCAAGATCCAGCGATCAATTAATCCATCGATTTTCTTCCTGATTTGGCAGCTGATTTCACGCTGGCCGAGCTGAAGACGCTGAGAGTGAAGCAGAGATGGTCCTTCCGTGACAAATCTCACGATGGTACGCGTACATTAATTCCTTCATTATTCTGGTGAAATCAGATCACCCGTCTACGATGTTAATCCCCTATGTTTGTGAAGGCATTTCTCCCATCATCACCTTCGACGAGTTCATCGACATCGCGCTGAACGCCAAGAGGGTCGTCGGGATCTACCCGGAGATGAAGAGCCCCGTGTTCATCAACCAGCACGTACGTGATCAACACACATCCATAAACAAAGCCACAAAATAGTTCGTAAATTGTCCATGAATTCATCTGTCGATCGATTCGATGGCAACGATTGCAGGTGAAGTGGGCGGACGGGAAGAAGTACGAGGACAAGTTCATCGGGACGCTGAAGAAGTACGGGTACGGGGGCAAGTACATGACGAAGCGGTGGAAGGAGAGGCCGGTGTTCATCCAGTCCTTCGCGCCGACGTCGCTCATCTACGCCGCCGACCTGACCGACTCGCCCAAGGTGTTCCTCATCGACGACGTGACGGTGCGGACGGAGGACACGGACCAGTCGTACGAGGAGATCACCTCCGACGAGTACCTGGACTACATGCGGGAGTACGTGGTGGGGATCGGGCCGTGGAAGGACACGGTGGTGCCGCCGACGAGGGACAACACGCTGGCGACGCCGACGGACATGGTGGCCATGGCGCACGCCAGGGGCCTGCAGGTGCACCCCTACACGTACCGGAACGAGAACCGCTTCCTGCACTACAACTTCCGGCAGGACCCCTACGCCGAGTACGACTACTGGCTCAACGACGTCGGCGTCGACGGCCTCTTCACCGACTTCCCCGCCAGCCTCCGCCGCTTCCAGGACTGGACCGCCGCCAAGAACTGATCGGCAGACCACACATGAGTACCCTATACGTTCAGATAGCCACAGGCAGGTTCAGATAGGTTTCTCTCTTCTCCTTGGGTTGTTCAGGATTGGATTTTGCATTGGCAATACATGGAATGGATTCGTTACATCGGGACTGGTTTCTCTTATCGTGCATCGTGCGAATGTGATGGTGTCCCCTGTTCTCAGTTAGTACTGTATAAGCTACCAGCAACAGTATCTTGCCAGGTTTCTTCAGTGGGTCTCCCAACAAGGCAAAATGGTAACTGTTCATCTTTCTAACCAGAGAAGATAAAAATCAGTAACACAATGTGTCAACTGAACCAAAAAGTTGCATATTCTTCTTGCGGTTCCTGGTTGGTGTACATAATGTCTACATGCTGAATTAATTGCTAACATCAACACATCTCTCCATATACAAGTTTAGCAAACAATGAGAAATATATTCATACCAAAACTTTAGCAGATGATGTACACACACACACACACACACTGAAACATGCAACTTTGTGGATGAGGATATCAACATTTTGTGGATGCATTTATCAATATCAAGACACTGAACAATCTTGTAAACGATGGAGTCAGCCAATCGTGAATCAAATCTTTAGAACTAAGATTGTTAATTTACATCTGCTTGTCATATCTGCAGATACAGTAGTTGGCAATTAAGTGGAGAACTATATTATACAAAGCTGGGATCTACAAGATAAAATCTAGTTAAACAATTGATTAGAAGAAGAAAAAACATCAAGGGCCCCAAGTTACAGTTATCTGTACCTTCTACACGTTCAGTAAGTGAATCATGCGCCCTCATCGGTGTTCTCGCATTGGGGGCTGGAGTTGCTTTAGTCGTTGAACAACTAGCTTCATAGTTGGTCGTATAGAGAGCGATTCAACGGTGCACATCACTGCTAAATGCAACACCTCTACCAAGTCATCATGCGGGCCCACATCCCACAAACCATCGACGAAGAAATCACGAGCACGGCCTTGGCGGAGCAGCATGCATGCCCAGGCAACTATGTTAAACCCATTGCCATAAGGAGAAAATGATGGATCCAAGGCCTTCTTGTCTGATATTAGCTCCATCAGTACAACACCATAGCTATACACATCGGCTTTATCTGAAACACGGCATGTCATAGCATATTCTGGAGCAACATATCCAAAAGTTCCAGCAACACCAGTGGTTGCATGGGTTTCCGAATTTCCCAAGAGCCTTGCCAGTCCAAAGTCTGAGAGGTAAGCATTATGGTTAGTGTCCAACAAAATATTGTTTGGTTTCACGTCACGATGAAGGATCCTAGGTACACAAGTGTCATGCAGATAAGCGAGTGCTTTTGCAATGTCCAGAGCAATCTTGTGCAGCCTCTTCCACTCTACTGGTCTCTTTGATCTCTCTTGTATGAATCTCTCAAGATTTCCTCCAGGCAAGTAGTTATATATGAGAAACATTTCAGATTCACCAAGATGGTAGCCTACCAAGGTAACAAGATTAGGATGTCTTAATCTCCCAAGAGTTTTGATCTCGGCATGGAACTGTTCCAATCCCTGGAATCTCCCAACAGAAAGCCTCTTTATAGCTACCAAGACTCCAGGTGAAATTTCAGCTTTGTAGGTGGCTCCAAAACCCCCACTTCCAATGCAATTGCTTGCGTTGAAAGTTCCAGTAGCTCGAACAACAGTCTCATAAGTGATCGGCACTCCGATTTCTTGGAAGATTATAACTTCCCTTCTTCCAGATGATCGAGCTGACATAAAGGGTGCACACTTTCTTGTGTAAATAAATAGTACAATCAGAGCAAGAAGGACTGAAACAATAGCTGTTGCTGATGTTATGGAAGCTATTTCAATTGCATTGAATGAACTATTTCCTCCTTGGTTTTGTGGATCCACAGGTGCTGTATCGTTGTCGTATGAATTCAGATCATGACCCTGCTGACCAGCGGAGGGAACAGCCAGGGTATATGTGTGACAAGATTGTAGCAAAGGATTTCCAATAATGCTGTCACATCCAACTGCACTGCTATTTGTTGGCACTGGACCAGACAAATTGTTGAATGACACGTTAAACATGGTAAGAGATGTCGCATTGGCAAATTCGGCCGGTATCTTCCCAGTAAGTTTATTATTATCAAGGAGGAGGGCAGTGAGATTTGTCAAGTCAGCCAGTGCATGAGGGATCTCTCCGGAGAGGCGGTTTGAGGACAGGTCCAAAACCTTCAGAGATTGCAGATGATTAATATCATTTGGAATAGTTCCATTTAGAAGGTTATGACCCAAAGAGAGTAGCTCCAAATGTGGTAAGTTCTTGACAGAAGTCGGAATTTCACCAACAAACTGGTTCCTGCTCAAATCCAAGCTGATAAGATAATTCAACTGCCCAATACTTGTCGGTATCAAACCAGAAAGGCGGTTACCAGCAACACCAAGAACAACAAGAGAAGTGCACAACGATCCAATCTCTACAGGGATACCTCCTGTTATCAGGTTGTTGCTAACGTCCACCATGAAACCCCTTGAACTGTTGCACTTGTTGAATAGGCCAGGTTGCAACTCACCGACAAGATTATTCCCATCAGCAAGGAAAGCATAGGATCCCTGCATTCCCAGCTTCTCGGCAGCAATCGGCAAGGATGTCACTGTTCCAGTAAAATTGTTCTGGGCAAAACTATGGTAACTCGTCAAATCAGTAGCCATGACTGCTGAAGATGAAAAGAAGCCCGCAATCGCCTGATATGCAAAGAAGGAAGAGTATTCTGACACCAGGTCATCAAATGGGAGCTGAGATGAAGGGCAATCCTTTGAGAGAAACACTGGGATCGAGCCAGACAGCCGGTTTCCGCTGACATCAAACACATCCATGCAGGGCACAGGAAGTGATGGATCAACTGAACCTGTTAACTTGTTCGAGCTCAAATTCAAGAACTTGAGATGCTTGCAGTCCAACAGCCCTTTGGGAATTCCACCAGAGATCAAATTCTCTCCCAAGTTCACCATCTCCAAGCTCTGGCAAGAGCTCCAGTTCCCCGGCAACTCCCCCTCCAGTGTAGCTCTTGGCGCCCATAGCACCCTCAGCTTCGGCAACGCAGCAACAACATCCTGAATCCCTCCCTCGAAATAGTTGAAGTCCTCAACATCCTCACCATCCGATGCATTCAAACCACCAACCAGCGCATAAGGGTTGGACAGCACTAAAACTGAAAGTTCAACACAACCACCGAGCTCCGCTGGCACAGGGCCGCTCAGGCTGTTCCTCGACACATCCAAAGCCCGCAAATTGTTGAGGCGTCCAATCTCCGGCGGGATGACGTCATCCAGCAGGTTGGAGGAGAGCAAGAGCGCCTCCAGCTTGCTGCAGTTCCCCAGGCTCCGGGGGATGCCGCCGACGAGGAGGTTCCCGGAGAGATCGAGGAACTGCAGGCTGCGGCAGCCGGCACCACCCAGCTCATCGGGGATGGCGCCGCCCAGGCGGTTGGAGGCAAGCGAGAGGCGCCGGAGCACCATGAGCGAGCCGAGCGCGGCGGGCACGGAGCCGTTGAGCTGGTTGTAGGCGAGGTCCAGCGTGTGCAGCGCGGCGCAGGCGAGCAACGGCGGGATCTCGCCCTGGAGGCGGTTGCCGGAGAGGTCGAGCACGCGGAGGCGGCGCAGCGACCAGATCGCGGCGGGGAGCGGGCCGGAGAGCGCGTGGGAGGGGAGCGCGAGCGCGCGGAGGCCGCGCAGCGCCGCGACGGACGGGGAGAGCGCGCCCGCCAGGCGGCGGCCGGGGGAGGCGGATACGTTGAGCGCCACGACCTCGCCGGACGCGCCGCACGACACGCCCGGCCAGAGGCAGTGGTCGGGCGACGCCGGGGACCAGGCGCGGAGGAGCCCGCCCGGGTCGGCGGTCACGGCCGCCTTGAAGCTGAGCAGGGCCCCCCGCTCGCCGCCGCCGCCCCCGGCGCCGGACGCCCGAACGGCCGCGACGAGCAGCAGCAGCAGCGTGGGTAGGGTTTGGGAGAGGAGGGTGGCCATGGGGCGCGGCGGCGGCGGGAGCCGCCGTCGCAATGGAGCGGGACAGTGGGGGAGGGTCGGGGCCCGGTGCGGGAGGGCCTCGGCTGGGAGTGGGGCGAAGCTCCGCGGTGCGAGCCGTCGGGTGGTGGGGGTGGCGTGGGGTTTGCTTGGGTTGGAAGCTCGGGGCATGTGGGCGAGCCGCACAGTGACACTGGCACTAGCGCGGTGCGACCGTGTGGGGTGAGTCAGTGTGGTTGGCACTTGCCAGGGGAGGGAGGGAGACCCTGGTTGGCTGCCCCATTGACTCTGGTTGCCCATTTTGGCTGCGCTGCTTGGATGGGCCCAGGCTTTTGATTTTTTTTTAGGACCCCGCAGAAAAACATGATTTTTTAGTGTCACAATATCATGAATTTGAGGACCAATATTCAAGGCTTTTTGAAAAAAAAATGGTGACCGAATATCATGTGAGGAGGCCAAAAGGGATTGCCAACAACAATGGCTCATGCGTGTTGATACGTAGGGGGGCGTCGTGGCCTCGTGGGATAGAGCGGTGCATAGACGAAGCGGCAAAGTTGTGCATTATCGACAATGACACTTGAATGTGTCCACGTTGGAATGTAGTATAGTGGGTGTGGTACCCGTCGAGACAAGGAGCATATGAGATAGAACAAGAAAACACGTGATATTTATTAGATATTAGTGAAGACATGTGGTGATTCAATGATATGGTCTTAATGCCTCCGAGAATTGTTTTCAAGAATTTAAAAGGATTTGTGAAAAGTTGAGAGAAGGCCCACTCAGCCCCCTTTGGTTGGTCCCCCTGCTCGCATACCACTTAGCTGGTTTTTTGGGTTTAGGGTTAGGGTTCGTAAGTAGTTGAATCCGTAACAAAAATAGGGTTACTTGTACATTATCTAAGAGCATCTTCACATATACCGAAAACAACAACGGTGCAAAAAACGACGTTTGAGATACTTTGGGCTAAATAGTCAACTTTAGTTATTGTCCTATCTATTTTGTGCGAAAAAATATTAGTGCTGGAAAATTTGCACTTGCAAGGGGAGGGAGACCCTGGTTGGCTCTCCCATTGGGAACCGGATCCTCTAACATCAAGAAGGAATGTCACAATGCTACAGTGTTAGCCTAGTGTAAAATGAAGAAGGAAAGTTAGGGACTATTAGTAGATAGTTAATAGGTTGTTTAGTGTTGGTATTTACTGTAGATATAAATAATTTAATTTTAATTTTATTTCACCATCAATTGTTTGCATGTAATTACTATAAATCTACACGGTAGATCATCAATTTGCAAATTAATTTAAATCATTTTAGCCATAATCATAGGAATAGAAAGAAGAAAAGTTAGAGTATTGTAGCTTCTCTAACATTCCTTCTTAATGTTAGAGGATCCAGTTCCCTTCCATTGACCCTGGTTGCCCATTTTGATTGCGCTGCTGCTTGGATGGCCGCTGGCTTTTGTTAACGAGACTTGTTCCTGTCAGAAATAAATAATGGCTTGTTATTTGGGCTAAGTGGGTTTTTAGTTTTTTTTTGCGGGGTAAGTGAGTTTCCAGTTAGTGTAAAGAAAAAGTGGGCTTCCAGTTACTCCACGTTAACATGATTTTTCTTAGGGTCAAAATAATGTGAATTTAAGAATCACATTCATGGCATAAAAATGGTGACTGGATATCATGTGGGGAGCCTAAAAGGGATTTGCCCACAACAATCGCTTATGTGTGTTGGTATGTGGGGGGCGCCGTGGCCTCGTGGGATAAAGTGGTACACAGACGAGGTGGCAAAGTTGTGCATTATCGACAATGACACTTGGATGTGTCCATGTTGACATGTAGTATAGTGGGTGTGGTAGCCGCCGAGACAATAAGCATATGAGATAGAACAAGAAAACATGGGATATTTATTACATATTAGTGAAGATATGTGGCAATTCAATGATATGGTCTTGATACCTTCGAGAATTGTATGGACAAACTAGAGGGTGAGTTCTTTTAAGTGTCATCACCACTTATTGCTAGAAAAAACAATCATGGACATTTTTAGTGATAGACATATGTTTCACGCTTAGTATAGATATATGGCGAAAGTGACGCATAAAAAAACCCTATGATACTAACATATGATAGGAGTTATTACAGGCATTCTTGTACAAAAGACACAATACATATTTTCTGTCACATATAGGTTTTTAATGTATAGCCATTACTCCATACGATGTGGACCTACATCACAACTCAAATTAGGATGAACCCAGAAAAGATTCCGAGAGGGGGTAGAATGTGTGAGTAGGGGCATTAAATATGCAATTGAAAAAATGACAGTTTTCAAGAATTTAAAAGGATTTGTGAAAAGTTGGGAGAGGGCCCACTCAGCTCCCTTTAGTTGGTCCCCTACTCACATACCACTTAGCTGGTTTTTAGGGTTTAGGGTTAGGGTTCGTAAGTAGTTGAATTCGTAACAAAAATAGGGTTACTCATACGTTATCTAAGAGCATATTCAACAGATACCGAAAACAACAACGGTGCAAAAAAAAACTGACGTTTGAGATACTCTGGGCTAAATAGTCAACTTCAGCGAATGTCCTATCTCTATTTAGTGCGAAAAAATACAAGTGTCGGACAATTTGCTGCAAAATTGAAGCACCTCTAGGGATTGCCCTAAAACGAAAACGCTTCGGTAGAACCCAACTATCCCGTTGAAACTTTCGAGTCCCCCGACAGTCACCGCCATACCGTCATACGCCGATTCTGGTCGAATCTCGACATCAATGTCGCCGCCACTCCTCCTACCATCCTCGGCCCCGTCGCCATCCCACCGCTCGTTCCCGCTGGTCGAGACGAGCGCCTCTCCATGGAAGCTCGGAACGTCGCCTCTGATTCTAACCGATTTCAAGCATCCCCCTCCCCCACTTCCCGATATGGCCATCGTGGCACCACGGTTTGGCCGATGAGGTCAATAAGCATCCAGGCCTATTCAGAGCTCTCAGCGCTTGGGCGGCATACTGCCGCTAGAGTTGGCGCCACCTCTGCCCGACGAGCGTCATGACCCGGCGACCTTTATCGGGTGAAATCGAGCTCGGTAACTAGCGACTGTTAGGTTCGCCTCTTGGCCTCCACACCGTTGGATCTCATGTTTCAAATATTTTTCAAATTTCAGGGCACCAGTTTTAGGGCATCTGTTACAGTGGAAAAAATTTCTGGTGTCCAAAACCTTCGCTCTCATGGCCTATAAGCATTTTTAAGGCACCGGACTTTTGGGCATATGTCGGAGATGATCTAATCATGCAAAAATTGGGAGGTTTTTTTCAAGGAAAACTTACAATCTATTCATCAATGATCAAGATAGTACAAAGAACACCAGAAGTAAAAATTGCATTCAGGTCCGTAGACCATCTAGCGACGACTAGAAGCACTGGAGCGAGCCGAAGGCGCGCCGCATCATCGCCCCTCCTTTTTCGGAGCCGGACAAATCTTGTTGTAGTAGACAATCACAGATGATCACATGCACAACATTTTCAGATTGATGAACATGATAAGACTGATACAAATACAGGAAAATATGAATATCGGTGTCAAGTCTAGGAACCTAATGAGTTATCCAGCACAAGAAACCTAACATCTAAGCCAAAAACTAGAGTCTCGTGTTACCTGATTGTACCCTATTCGTAAGCACCGCGTACGTGTACCCAGCCGCAAAACTTGCGAAAGCCAGTCGAAAAGCGGGTCCGTCGGCTTTCCGCTTCCTTACCTTTCGTCCCCGTCCCACGCCGGCCGGTGCTTTTTCACCGTCGCCTCCCGCGCCAACCTCTCGCACGCACGCACGCACCCGCTCTCCTCTCACGCCCTCGATCTACCGCCCGTGCCCTGTAATCCGACGGCCGCCACGGCCGTGCCCAAACGCGCGGCTGCGTCCCTGCCTACCCCGACCGATGCGCGCACGCGCTCCGCTCCTCGCCGGTGCGGCCCCTCCCCACCCGTCGCTTTCCGCGCCGAGGGGCTCGGAGTTCCGAAAGCGACGGGGCCCGAGAGCCCAGAGCCCACCACCCCACCTCACGTACCGGCGGCGTGGGTGGGGCCGCAGGGCCGGCAGGCAGTGGGCTGGGTTGGTGGTTTCCGGTGGCTCTCTCAGTGGAGGCGTGGGGCCAGTCAACGGCGGCGATGGCCAGTCAAAGCTGCGGCTCCGGCAGCGGTAGTGGAGCACGCGCGGGGGATAGATAAGGGCAGAGAAAGAGAGTGCGGTGCGCGGTGGTGGTGACCGGTGTGGTGCGGCGTGGATCCGGCATGTTCCGCGCGCTAGGGATAGATTTTCCGAGCGAGGGTGACGCCTACGGGGCACGGGGCATCGTCGGCTCCGATCGAGGAAAAAGCTCCGGCCGCCGCCTCCGGCAGCCTTTTCCGGCCGCGCTGCGTTTGCATGCGCGCGTGCTGGGCCGGCCGATCGGCCAAGGAAGAATGGATTAATAATAGTACTAAAAACAAGCGAGAGCCACGGGTGTATCAGGGATGTTTTTTCTCCGTGTTAGGTGACTGGCTACGTCGCTAGTGATGGACGATAACATTTGTTCTTGACGGCAAGGCTTCGAGTCTAAAGCTCCGGTTGCTTGTCCGCTTTGGAATAAAGAAGCGCGAAAGTGGTGGTGAGCAGCCACCGGCGGTGTGAAGCGATTCAACTTTTTCGGCGGCATATCCAAATCGGAGCAACCATCGATCCCTAACTGGTGTCTTGATCTTTCAACGAAAGGTCGTTGATTTTTGTAGGAGGAGACTGTGACGGTCCTGACTAGACCGATTTACTATATGATGTGTTTATGCAATTGCTAAATTAACTCATATATGTAATTATTGGTGGTGTTGGAAGCACGATCGACTTGATCATGAAGATCTGCAAGCGAACAAAAACAAGCATCATTCAAGATATGCAATAAAAATTGCGGATAAAAGATGGTGTTAGAGTTATATATATTTAGCTGTCTATTATTTGTATTTTTCATATTCTATACATGCTATTATGCATATTGTACCACACTTGTACGTGCATATACGGACCTATGGTCACAGGAAATAGAAGTTGCATATTTCCAAACATGCTATCAGATCTTTAGGCTATTTTTTGCGTGCACACAACTCGTGCTGAGGTTCAATCTTCGCCCTGTTCCAGGCCCCCCGTCGCTGCGTA